TACAGGTTTTATTTTATTTTTCATTATAAAGTTTCTGTTTGTTCAAAAATTAACCGAGGCAGGCTAGCATCCAACAAACAGCTATCATTTCAAATTTTTTATTAAAAAAATTAGAGATAAATATTTACAGAACAAATTATTGGGTAAAAGTGTTCAATTGCAAAAGAAATAAAAAAATTAAAGAAAAAATTAAACAAGTGTTTTGTGGTTGGACTGAGGAGTAGAGTGACACCGTCTTAAAAGGGAGTCATATATTAAGTTTCACTTCATCAGACAATGGTTTTTTTTTTTTTCTATCAACATTAAATTCTTATTTATATGCTGGAGAGAGCTTAATAAAGGATATAACTCAATAAATTATATTTCATATTACATTAAACCATATGTACATAGATATGCATTAACTGATAATTCTTCCTTAAATATCGAAACACTGGCACACACTGGTGCAGAGTGGGGCGGGTCGTGTAACTTTTATTGGCGCGGAAAATGGAACCGCACAGTTAAATTCCAGCCAATTTTCTTTCCTCTACGTCCGGTTGATACTCATCTGCCTTTTGAACAGGAGTTCAATCTTTATCTCTTGTTTTCTCTTTAGGGTTCGTTTTCTGGTTCTTTCTAAAGTTCATTTTCATTCCCTTTCTCTCCCAGTTGCCTATTGCGTCATAGGGGTATTAACGTCTTTCTTGGGTTGAATTGATTAAAAATAATATCCAAGTTGGAACTTTCCAGTCCTCACTTTGTCGTTTGCCAGGTCTCGTGGGAAAGGCTTACTCTTTACTCTACATCCTCCTGCCCACAGATGCTACCTAGAACGCCATCTGCTATTTCTATGGCAATGAGGCTTTATCCGTTGTTGCATATTTAAGATTTTCTTTGAATTTTTTGTCGAACAAAAATTAAAAAATTGTAAAGGTTTTAAATGACTATCATTATTGTTTTGTCCATGTATTGATTAAGATATTGTAATTCTAAAATTGTCATCTTTGATAATGGCTTTATATAACTAAGCTTTTTTACTTAATGGATTATAAAATATGTGAAGCATCAGTTTACATCATTTTCCTTCGTCTCTTAATGACAATGTTACTAAGCTTATCCGACGATATGAAAAGAATTTACATAAAAAAATAGACAAATCTTGTTTATATTATTTAATGGAACAGGCAACAATGAAAAAAAACTGCCTAAATACACATCTTATTCCGATATATATATATATATATATATATATATATATATATATATATATATATATAATTTAAAAACAGAAATAACGTTTGAAGTGAAGAAAATTGACGGATTAAAAATAAAATCAAATTAAATCTTTTCTATATGTGTATCAATTATGAATATATATATATATATATATATATTCATAATTGATTTTGAATCTGACATCTTTTCATAATATCTAAAATCTTCTGTATAGTAGATGTCTGAGTTTGTGAATATCACAGGTTTTTTTTTTTTCTTTTCTTTCTATCGATTCATCGATCATTAATTTTTTGCCACTAATTCCAATGTTTAATCACAAAGAATTCAATTCTAATCAAGTGTACTTTCCTAAATATAACATTTATAGTAATTATATAACTACACACACACACAAATATATATATATATATATATATATATATATATATATATATATATATATATATATATATATATATATATATATATTCTGTGTGTTTTAAAAAAAATTTTTTTTATTGACAACTTTTCACTTTGTCTCATTTCTTTAATTTGTTCGGATACTATTCTACAACCTAATAATAATAATAATAATAATAATAATATATATATATATATATATATATAGAAAGAGAGAGATTTTTCTGACACACAAAATATATATATATATATATATATATGCGTTTAATTTACGTAAAACGTTATTTTAGTATTTAGCCATATATGAACTACAAAATTTAAAGTTTTTTTCTAAACCGTGAATATTGCATCTGCGCAACCTTGAAATATTTGCACACTGTTTAAAACAGGGTGTCTCTTGCAGATATGGGTATACTAATAAAAATAAAATTAAAAAAATCCATTAGTTCTTTAAAAAAAAAAAAAAAAAAAAATATATATATATATATATATATATATATATATATATATATATATATATGTGTGTGTGTGTGTGTGTGTGTGTTGTAGTGAATGAAATATTGGACCAAACTCTATATAAAGCGTTTTGTTTTTTAATTCATGGGGCCCTGAGCAGACAAAAATAAGGTTCTTATTTACTGAATTACATATTGCAAATTGCAGCATACAAATCGATTTTTCATGTCTAAAAATCTAGAGGTCGACTTATATGGCATGTATAAAATGCCGACTTTTACCACCGAGATGTAAACAAGTGGGACAGCGCTCCAGTCAATTACTGTACCCCACTAGCCCTACCTCGAGCAGGCTACCACAAATACATCCCACTAAAACTTATGTTTGGTGAACATAGTTGGCCTGGAAGTGAATATAAAATAATAAAATAGTAACACATTCAGTATACTAGTAACGCTATAGCACCGAGCACAACAGTTTATACACTAAGTGTAAACATTGATCCAAGCGCGGTCGACTCAGACAACTGAATATGGTATTCCTGTCATCTGTGCAATTTCAGGATCGTAATGTTAGTTTAATGGCCAAAGACGCATTCCAAAAGCTAGGCAGAGTATTAAATGGGAGGATTTCGTTGGTAACAAAGAAAAGAGTAATGGACTGCTACGTGATATCTGTCCTCCTTTACGGCAGCGATTGCTGGACGGTCTGCTCAAAGAAGAGACTCAAGGAGACGGAGTTATGGTTCTACAGAAGGACGCTAAGGATATCATGGACCGAGCGTGTGAGCAACAATGAGGTTTTGAAGAGGATGCAAACAAGGAGGAAGCTTATACTTAACATCAGGAAGAGGCAGCTGATGTTTCTAGGACACGTAATGTGAAAAGAGGGCTTAGAGAATCTGATACTCACAGGTCGAATAGAGGGAAAGAGTGTTAAAGGAAAGCAACACATGACGTATCTAGAGGGCTTAAACAAGTGGATGACAGAACGTGGTCTGTAAGAATTCGCCAATGGATAACACTTATTGAGACCTACAAGGGATATGAGAAAGTGGAGAGCCATGATCGCCTACGTCCTGAAGGGACACGGCACATAAAAGAAGAAGAATGGCAGTTTATTGAATATTTTGAGTTGAGGTGTTCGACTTATACGGTGGGTATAAGCCTAGCTCAGAATTTTGAGCTAAATACCTTGAGTTCATGTTGTACGCAGCAATTTACAGTATATGAAAGGGGAAAAGTGAAAATATAAACAAAATCTCTCGACACAGTCTGTCGCCGCTGAGTGTGCACATATATGATAAAAATATACTTTTAGAGTATGCTATATTTATTGGCTAAAGAACTCAAGTCGAGACAGCGTATATAAATATAAAAGTGCACATTGAATACCAGGCGCTGTAAGCTTGGATATGCAGGCGATATAATGGATAACGGCTCGGAATGAGAAATAGAAGTTAAGCAACGTCGAGCCTGGTCAGTACCTAGATGGGTGACGGCTTGGGAATGCCAGGCGCTGTAAGCTGGGATGTGCAGTTGATGTTATGGACAATGACTCAGAATTGTCAATCGGAGAGCCGAGTTCCAATTCCACTTGGGTCAGTTATATTTACCTACGCACAAATAGACTTGGGAATGGAATGAGTACACCTCTTAACCCTCTCCTGGCTTACGGCCGCATCACCTTGATGATCGTACACCTATGTTTCAGAGTATAGCAACGTCTAGCCTGGTCAATACCTAGATGGGTGACCGTTTAGGAATATAAGCTTGCATGTGAGGGTGGTGTAAAGAATAATGGCTCAGAATTGTTCATCAGTTGGGTTCATTATATTGACTTATGCACAAAAATTACTGGGAAAGGCATGAATCCACATTTAATTTGTATGACTTGTATCACTAAAACCATTATTAGCTTCAAAAAGTTAAAATAAAATTGCGTAAAGATATTTAGATTTCGGCATTAAATAACTCCAAGAGGTTTATAGTGATTTCCCAAGCGTAGCTTAGATATGGCACAAGGCCGAAAATATGGGGCACCCAGTGAGGATCGCACTCACTACTCAGTCGTAATTGTTCCAGCGAGACAAGCTTGCTAATAAATGATTTTCCAAACGTAGCTTTGATGTGACACAAGGCCGAAAGTATGGGGCACCCAGTGAGGATCGAACTCACTATTCAGTCGTAATTGCTCTAGCGAGACACGTTTGCTAACCATTACACCGCCTTGAGATGCCCAGGTCCTAAAGGTTTATATGCAGCTAAACAAAAGCAAGCAGCCAACAAAATCTCTTGACGTTACAAGATTTTTCTTCTTCAGTTCTAATTTCCCAAATGTTTTAGTTATTCTTAAATATTATATTTAATATTTATTTTTCTCTCTTTGGCAATCTTCCCAGTCTTACGAGTTTTTCTTTTCCCTGATCCATTTTTCATCATTCCTTTTCTTTGTTTGTCTCCGCATTTTTTTTTCTCTTCGACTCTGATGTGTATAACATTTGCTCTCAACTTTCCCATCATTGTCTCCTCTTTCTGCTCGCCATTTCCTCTGTACCTACCCCCCATCCACATAAAAACACATTACAACTCCACGACTGAAATTCTGATAACAGATTAATGATTCTAAGGATATTTCTCACAGCCTATCCAACTTCTGCTGGCTGTGATCTCCAGTGTTATTTTCCATTGTTAACTCCCCGGACAGCTTTGATAATAAGGACAACAACCACATAATCAAGGGAACGCTATAATCATCATCATCGCCATCGTCTTTCGTTGCTATGAATTCAGCGACGATGGACGCCATTTTTCTTTAACGACTGCCTGTAGCCATGGTAACAATGGGAGATTGGTTGACAAGGAAGTTTGGACGATTAGATTATGTACAAGTCGAAATTTGAAATTACTTTTTAACCTTTTACCAAGATGAGGGCTCAAGTTACATTCTCTTTCCCCTCTGGGCTTTTCTTTTCGTATTTCTTCAAATATTGTCTATGAGGGTTTTTTTTTCTCTCTCTCGTTCAGTTTCCTTTATTATGCATTTAGTTTTACGTTTTTCATTTCAATTTTCGTTTTTGGTATCCAACATTGTTTTCTCTTTTTTTTTTTCTCTTGTTTAATCTTTTTCTGTTTTTTTCTTTCTTTGTCTTTTTTCAGTCTCTTCATACTTTCTTTTTTCAAAAACTTTATTACTTTCTTCAATCTCTTCTTTCTTTCTTTCTTGTTCTCGTTCGATCTTTCTTTCTCCAAATCTCCCTTGCTTCGTTCTTTCTCTTTTTTTTTTCAACTGCTTCTTTTTCATCATTATTTCTGTCTCTAACATCTTTCTTTCTTTTTTCTTTCTTTCTTTCTTTCAGAGATCCTCTTGTCTTTATTCATTTCAGTAAATAAAATTTTTCTCATTCTTTTTTTTCATATTTCTTTCTTTCTTTCTTTCTTCCATTCCTTCTTTTATCTCTTCTTTCCTTTTGCGATCTCTACGTTCTTACTTTCTTTTTACACTCTTCAACATAACCATTAATTTTTTCTTTTCTTATTTCTTTCTCTCTTCTACTTCATATTTTCTTTCTTTTCCCGTTCTTAATATCTTTCTTTTTTCAAATCATTCTTCCTTTTTATTTTACATTATTTATCCTAGATATTGATTTCCCAAACAAAATTAGATGTTTTAAAAATTTCAAAGAATGGGGCAATTTGAGGATCGATTCTTTCAATTTTCAGTCCTAAACTATCTTTTCTAGCTTGCTTACACCATTTACACCATGTTCAAATTAAATTTTTTAGTTTCAAAGCGTTTCTTGGATGTATTACAAAGTCGAAAGTATGGGGCACCTAGTGAGCATCGAACTCACTATTCAGTCATAAATGTTTTTGAAAACATGTCCGTAAAGCCATTACACCACCATAATTTAAACCCTTATTTATCTTATATATTTCGTTAAATATTTCCACCTTATACGCACTCACATATATAGTGATTTTCCAAGGGTAGCTTAAGTGTGGCACAAGGTTGAAAGCATAGTGTACCCAGAGAAGATTGAACCCACTACTCAGTTGTAATGATTCGAACAAGACAAGCTTGCTAACCATTACACCATGTCGAGTTGCCCTTATTTATCCTATATTTTTCGTTAAATATTTTCCACCTTCTCAAAAGAAAACGTGTGTGTGTATGTCCTTTGTCAGTCAGCTACTCATTTCCATGGCTACGATGTGACATTGATCATGAAATACGGTGACAGCATAAAATGACAGCCAGACATCGATGGATAATCTCGCAGTAAATATTAGTGTGAAAAGAATACAGACAAAATATGCCAGTATTTGAACCCGGAACGTAATCCATTTTTTTTACTGTCATGCTACCGCGCACTATCTCTAGTCTACCTTCCTCCCTACATAAATATTCACTGGCATTGTAATAACTGTTACAAAATGCCACACATAGGTGAGGAGTCACTTTAATTTAAATTTATTTTTTACCCTCACGAGGGTAGATGATAAAAGGCCGAATTTTTACTTGGGACATCCGAATGATAGGCTCGGCCCCAAATTCCCGTAGAACACAGCATTCTATTATCAAGTTTAGTGTTAAATTCTGAACGAGACTCTTGTTAGACATTTTCATGGCGGCCGTCTTCAATATAGAATCCAGAGGTTGGCAGTTAATATTTCGGAGACAGTAAATAAACATAGTGCAGGTTCGCATATAATATCGCAAAAGTATGCAGAGCGTAGTTCTTCCGTCTTTCATGTTCGCCGGACAAGTTATTTCTGGTCATTCCGGAAAAAAAAAAGATGGCCGCCTTTATATACGACGAATACAATAGTTGTTGCGGCTTCTGATTGGTCAACCTTCTATTGGTCGACTATAAAAAGGAAATAAAATTTCTGACTCGCTTTTTTTCTAGTTATAATAATATGTTATATACCCAAAAAACCGTAACAGACGGAAGAACTAATCTATTGCTACGATATCCATAAAAGAACCACAAACACGCTTTCCTACTGTCTCCGAAATATTCACTGCCAACCTCTCAATTTTATACTTCAGGACGACCGTCATGAAAATTTATTAATTTTCAAAAAAGCATATTCTTGTCCAGGTTTTAAAGAGGCAGAGAGTTCGACCAAAAAGCCGAAAAGGATTTCAGATTACGAAAAAGTCGTATTGTCATGCAAGACCTTCTTGGCAACTATTAACCATTACGCGTCAACTAACATCAATCACAAATACACAAATATATGTATGGTAAAATAAAAGAACAACACATTACATTACGTCGCCATCTTTCTTTGGATCCATTCTCAAAGAATCTAACTTATATCTATATAAAGAATACATTATTAAAGAGAGCAGCCATAAATTATAACTTTGTAATTTCACGTTGCGCGGGTTGAGCATACAAAGGAGAACTTAGAACTCCCACTAGACAGACACACACATACACAATTACCATTCGATGCCCGCTTAGACATACACGAATTTTCACAAACCCACATGCACATAGAATTAAAACACGTCACATGTGTCTGACCAATGAGAACTGACCCAAACATAATTGAAAACACCAGTGTTTCTGGGGTTTTTTTTCTCAATCTCTGACGAAGCGAAATATATTAGATTAGTATACGTTTCCTATTTGTTCGTTTATTTTATCATTCTGTCGGAAATGCATTTGATCACAAACACACACACACACACACATTAAATATATATATATATATATATATATATATATATATATATATATTGCATGAATCATTCATACAAAAAACAGATTAGTGTAGCTTTGATATTCAATGGCGAGAATATTAGTTCGCAAACAAATTTATTAAAAATACATTAACCCATGAACCCTAGATGAATGTTGTATCCCTGTTTTTATCCAATTCAACTTTTTTAAGGTATTTTTTTTTTTTTTTTTTTTTTTTTACTTTCATCTGTTTATATTGGACATCATCAGGCATGGATATTGATTTGTTTTTTTTTTTTTTTTTTTTTTTTAAAATCCATCCAGGTAATAAGGGGACACGAAAAAATTAGATGTAAATCGAAATAGGTTTTTTAGAAATGTGTTATTGTTAACTGTAATTTGAATTCTGAGCGTGCATTCGCAACGCTAAATCAGGAAATTTTGAAAATTTAAAAGAGAGTGAATTTTTTTTTTAACTAATATGGTAATTGGAGAATTCTTTTGTTGTAATAGTTTTTTCAGTCGATGTGGCATGAACTAAATTGTTCAATAAATAGAGCAATGTTGCAGCTAATATCCCAGAACTTGCACGTCGGATCACTTTTTTTAAATCAAATATGTGGTGCAGTTCAATTTATATTACATTAGTGAAGTTAATGATATAAATAATGATATATATATATATATGGTGGACTCTCCCGTCGTATTCGACGTATAAGGGTCAAGCAACTCTGTTCCTAGAATCGACAGCCAGATACCAGCATATATGATTTGATTATAGAGGTGATGGGTTTGTGCAGGACCAACCACACTTTTTGAAGAGCTAAATACAGAACACCTGCTACAAGGTCCCCAAACAACACTCCGCGGGTTTTGAATTCAGAGTTGTACTTCTTCTAGACCAGTTGCCATCCAAGGCTATAGAACCCAGTATGTCCTAATATATATATATGTTCATGAATCATTCACACAAAAAACAAATATAGAGGTTAATGATTTAAATGGCGAGAATACATCGTCGGAAACAATATAAATATATGAATGATTCATGAATTTGTAAATTATAATTGCACCTTTTAATTGAAATTAAAATAACTGATCCAACATGCAACTCTCGGATAATAAGTATGACATTACTGTAATTATTGAACAATATAGTTCATGCCATATTCACGGAAAAAATCTACCAGTAAAAAAAAAATTCTTATGAGGATATATTTTGTACAAAAACGCACAACCTTAAAATTTAAAATTCAAACTCAGCGTTGCGACCGCACGTTCCAAAACAATAACACATTTCTCTATATAGCATTTTTTCGGATTACATCTCTATTTTCGTTGTCCTCTTATTACCGAGAAGTAAAAAACAAGAACAAAAACTATTTCCATACTGATTGTCTGTAGGAACAGAAAATTAAAAAATTAAAAAGACCTTATGCAACTGGAATTTATAAACAGGGATCATATCATTCATATACAGGTTCGGGGGTTGATGTATCTTATTTATATTGTTTGCGAAGATGTATTCTCGCCATTTAAATCATTAACCTCTATATTTGTTTTTTGTATGAATGATTCATGAATTTATAAATTATAATTATATTTTTAATTGAAATATATATATATATATATATATATATATATATATATATATATATATATATATATATATTATATTTCTATATATATATATATATATTATACATATGTGTGTTTGTGTGTGGTTGAGTATAAAGAATATCAAAATAAAAAATGCATATTAAAATAATATTGGTAAAATAAATGTACAGTAAATGTTACAATAGCATGCCTATCCACATTTGCAGCTTGGGAAAATTCTTGTCGAAAGTACATCTATCCTTTTTCATGTAAATAATAAAGATAAAAACTGTCTATATTAAAAAAATTAAAACATACCATTAATAAAATTAATTATGATTACTGCACAAATGTTTTGAAATGTTTACAGAAGATAGTTTAAAATGTCTAGGTTTTAACTAATAGTTTCGCCTTTTTAAAAAAATGTTTAGATTATTTCAATGACTTAGTTACCTCCCTTGACGTTTGCATGCGTGTCTACACGATAAAATTTAAAAAATTGTATAGTGCATAACTTTAGTGTTCTTCACTTCACACGGATAAATTCAATTTTCAGATGAACACAACAAATTTGTCTTAGAAAAACAAGACGCTGTTTACGACATTGCGCTAATATCGAATGTACACGGAATAAAATGAATATGCATCAACATGTAATTGTCTTTCTTCCTTTAATAAGGATAATAAAAAAAACATGTCCGTAATTACGAGAGGATCCTGTTAAAAATAAATAGACAAAACTTGTCTAAATTATTTAATGAGAGACATTTCTTACACAAAACACATACTGCCAATATATATATATATATATATATATATATATATATATTTTGTTCAGTGTGTGTGTTGTTTATCACATATTTTATTGACATATGTAAATTATAATAAATTTATATAAAGTAATACTATAAATACACACATATCAATATATATATATATATATATATATATATATATATATATATATATATATATTAATATAAATTTATACATACATACAAATATATATAAAAGTTTCCAAGAGGATAAATATCCAGGTTTAACTCAATGTCCAGGAGTTTTAGAATATATTAAAAAAAATTAAAAACACTAATATTAGGTTTAATTTTAATTTATATATATATATATATATATATATATATATATATATATATTATATATATATATATTATTATTATTATTATT